CCCCACTCCCTGCCTTCTCTGAGCCCCTAATGAGCTTCTATCCTGGGAGCTGCCTCCAAGTACATGCTCCATGCTGTGCGCCTGCAGGAGCCACCACTCACGTGGCCACCTCTGCGAGCTGTGCCCAGTCTGCTCAGTCCTACAGGACGGCCTGGTGCCCCCCTCCTGGGGGGAGAGTGAGCAACAGACCAGGAGCTTCCTCCTCACTCCCGTGCCCATTCTCTCCACCGCGGGCCGGGTCTGCTAGTGCTAAGCCCTCTCCTACGTTTCAATTTCTCTTTGGGGACTTCCCCCAAGCCACCCTGTATCAACGGGGAATGAGACAGAAGGTAGAAAGGACAGGCCTGCTCTTTGGGGCCCAGGGCCAGGCAGCAGCCTGGGGGAGTAGTTAAAGGTCGGAGCGTCCAGGCCCCTCAGTGACTCACCTGTTGAGAAGTATTAGTTATCAGCTCCTAGGCAGGCAGCAGCCACAGCCAACAGAGGATTAAACATGCACAACGTTAGCCAAGAGGCCCAGGGACACAGGGACGGGAGGGAGACATGGGGGCCCCTCATCTCTACTCTGCTGCTCCATCCCAACCAGACTCCTGGCTGGAGAGGGGGACACGGGGAGGAGCACGCACAGGAGCAGCTTCTAGCAGACATGCACCCCCAAGCCAAACTCAGCGGAGGACAGGCAGCGCCCCCCACAGGTCCTGGGCGCAGAGGACCCCTGCCACTCCCCACCGAGAGGCCCACCAACCCCAGCTGCCGGTCCCAGGCGTCCTTCTCCTCCACCTGGAATCTCCACCCCATGAGTTAAACTTTCTAAACGGAGGAGGAACACAGGGAACTTGAGCCGGGCCCTGTGGAAGTTGTGTTCCTTGAGGCGGAGGGAAACCGGCGTCCCTGAATTCTGCTCCCCGTCCCTTGCCCCTCATCAGTCTTTGAATCTCTCAGGGGAGCTGAGGAGGCGGAGCTCACCCCTGGTTCTCCCTTCCTGACCCTGATGAGCTGAAATCACTAAGTCAGGACCTATGTGGGGCAGAAAGGGAGACCCACAGCGCATAGGCCCTCCCTCCACCCACAACCACCCAGGTCCCCAGACAGCGAGAGGAGGCAACCGGCTCTGCTGCTGTGAATTTAACCCCAACCACTTGGCCTGGGTGAATTTTGTGCCCAGACAGGGTGCTGGACTGAGTGTGCTCAGAGCAGCCGGGGGAGGGGGGGGAGGGGGTTAACAGGGAGAGAGGAAGACAGACCAGGGGGCTTTCTGTCTAACTCTTCTCCACTCACCAAATGGGGAGGCCCAAACCCAGCCTGTCCTCAACCCCACAGCCCCTTTCCCTACTGGCCCCGTCCCAGCCCTGCCTCAGGATCCTGGAAATGATGCTCAAAGTAGATGGAGGCGTGTGATTGGCCACGCCCGGAACACCCCTTGCAGGCACTCCCTGCATCCCCAGACCCCCTTGGAGCACTGACATGCAGGAGCACCAGGCACTCAGGATGCCTCCAGTCGCTGCCTGTGCCCAATGCAGCCTGACACGAGCAAGGGCTGAAAATGCCTCCTGCAAGCAGATGCCTTCAGCACCCACATTTAAATGACATAAACAACCATCTGGCTTTTCTAGAACCCCCAAACAGGCCAGAGCCCTGTGCCCACCCCTTTGGCTAGTCCCCTGGGAGCAGGGACACTGGCCCTCAGCCCCCACCGCCCTCAGGAAGGGTCAGCCTTGGGCCTGGACTTGGCAGGAAGAAGTGGGGAGCCTGGTCACTACATGCAGCCGCTGCCCAGGGCCCAGGAGGGCACAGCCCCCATCACTGGCACCTGGGGAGTCCTCAGGGCTGGAACCCTGGGCTCAGCAGAGAAAACACAGAAGAAAAGAGCACAGCCCTGAGCGGACACAGCCCCTGGAGGCAGGACAGAGAGAAAGCAAACCCTTCCAGCCCTGGGCTGGTAATGCCCAACTGGACTTGGGGGCAGCCCCCACATGTGCCGCTGCAATGCAGATTCCTGACTCACATTCACGTGAGGATGAGGTCCAAGAACCTGCATTTTTGGCAATCCCACAGGCACTCAGGACAGTTAAGATCCCTGGCTCAGGAATGCCCTGTATTCTGCCCCCAACCCTACTCCCCCTAATGTTGCTTACTCATCAGACATCTGTACCCAGCGCCTGCAGAGCAAAGCCCAGGGCCTCTGCCTGCCTGCCCGGGCCTGGTCCAGCCTCAACCCCTAACATGACCTTGAACGTTAGCATCCTCTGCTCCCCGACTCTTGGGGGTGTTGAGTGATGAGAGGATGTAGAGAAAATGGTTTGAAAAGTTAAAATGCCTTTTAGGTACAGTCCCTAAATCCTGCGGCCAAAGAAAGAGCAGGATCAGCAGTGGCCAGGCCCTCGGACTCCACCTCCAGTGCTCCAGGATGAGAGAGAGAAACCAACACATGCTCATTCATCACTTGATGTGTGACTACACACTGTAATACTATGGGATGTCTCCCCTCCTGCACTGCACGCCTCCACTTCATATCTACGTTCCCAGCAAGCACATGGGGCCTGGCAAAGGATCAAATCATTCAATACATTCAGGAGGGAGGGAGGGAGGGGCTATGTGTCAGACACTGTGGGTTTAGTAAGGCGCAAATGTGAAGTCAAGGCTAAAAGTCAAGATCCAAGAGGCTCGAGGGGCAGGGTCTTACCTGGTGCCTCTGATAGGCTGAGAACATTTTCTCAAAGTCCTGTAGGTCCAGAATCCGAAATATCTGCATGTCATCAATCTCATTCCATACGGTGCCAGGGACACGCTCCTAAGATTCGGGGCGGGGAGGACACCCATGGTTGACTCACTTCCTTCTCTGTGGAGATGGCTGGTGCCTCCCTACCCCCACCTGCCCCCAGGGGCACACATCCTGACAGCCAGGCGGCCAGGCCCTCAGAAGGGGGTCATCCTCCCCTCTAACCTCCACCCTTTCTCAATACTCGGCCCCAGAGTAGAGGCCAGCGACAACCTCCTTCCCCGCCTGTCCAGGTGGGCCCACGTGTAGGCACATTACAGAAATCGGTGGGTGAGCCGAGTGAGGGATGGGCGAGTATGAAACTCCTTCCAGAAAAGCCAAGCTGAGCCAGCGCTCTCGGGGCCTCCCCCTGAAGGCGGGCTGGGGGGTCAGCGGCAGGAAGAGTGCCCACACATATGGGGGATCCTGGCATCCTTAGCGCCAACGGTATTTCCTGCATCTGAGATGGTCATTTTCTCTCCCAGGGGTCTTCCTCCCACTTTCCCAGATTCCCAGAAAGCAGACCAATGTCAAAGGCTGGGACATCCTGTCCCCTCCAGTGACTGCCCGGGCCGAGATTCTGCCACAATTTCCTGTTGGTCAGACCCAGGGAAGATGGCCCGTAGCTTATGACTGGGAAGGGCCCAGGAGTTTACATTCCACGGCCCCTCACCATAGGCCCCGTACACCTCTGTTAGGACCCTTGCAGTGAACCCCACCCCAGGGGCCTCGGAAGAAGCTGTCAGCCTCCGGGGAGGAGCTGCCAGCCAAGCCAGGCCATTCCAGTGATCCTGCGACACCTGAGGATGGCTTACAGCAGGGGTGGGCAATCCCTGGCACACATGCCAAACATGGCACGCCAGTAACTTTTGCTGGCACGCGAAACCCTCTCTTATAATCTTCCATTTACAATTTTTTTCTTAGTATCACCTTTTTTATTTTTCAGATAAATTCAGTGTAGGTGCATCTTAGATAAATAAATAATTTTACATAACAAGTTATCTTAAAGACCATAGACATGGATTGATGAGAGAGGGGAAGAGCAATTTCTATGCCTCTGCCTTAACTCTCTCTGCCTTCCTAGATCCGACCAGTGTTTTGGTTTCATCCACATACGCTTGTGAATCTTTGTTCTCGGTGATGAATTTTGTTAAGTCTCCTAATAGGAGTAGCCTGACGGATGAAAGTAGTAGCTCGTGCATATCTCTGAAGGTCACGAAATATAAACCTGATGTAAAATCTCTGTCATCAGTGATGCAGCAGCAAAAGTCCAACTGATCATATCAAAGGGAGTCATAAAGTTTTCTGTCGGACTATCAGTGTACATGTATACATTAAAAAATAAATGTATTTTTCATCATCATATACTGTGTTTTTGTCACTCGAATGAATTTTATTTCTTCAAGGTTCGTCACATACGTACAACTTAAGAGATATCAAGTATGCATAACATGTTCTCAAAAAATTAGGGTTGGCACGCAGAAGAATTTTGAGTCAGAGATTTTGCTGGTTTTGGCACGCACGCACTCACAAAAAGGTTGCCCACCCCTGGCTTAGAGGGTGCAGCAGAGGTCCTCCCTGCAGGTGCTCCACCCCCTCCTCCCAGAACCCACCTTACCTACATCTTTGCTGACTTTTCAGGTAGCGCCTCCCACCGTCATCTGGCTGTAGGGCAGCTGGGGAGCCTTCCTAATGCCCCTGCCTCCTCCCTTCACCTCCCCCTCAGCAAGGCTTGGAGAGAAACATACCTTTCACTCACGTTTATTTTCTTAAACTCTGGAAAAGGGGAGGCTAGGCCAGAGCAGGGGGTGGGGACATTCCTGTGGCCTTCCTAAGGCCAGGGACCCTCTTGTGGAATGCCGGGCTGGGAAGCTCCGAGCGGCAAGGGATACAGGCAACTGGCCAAACCCAACACAGACGCATTCTTTTCATGGCAGAAGCAGCCACTGTGTGTGTGTGTGTGTGTGTGTACGCACAGGAGCACGCGTGGGGTCGGGGAAGAGGAAGGGGCCTGGGGAGAGGGGCCAGGCTCCTGGAATGGGGAAGGTAGTAGCAGAGAGGAGATGGTAGGAATGGAATTGGGGCAGGCAGGGGAGAGAAACTTCTAATTCGGTCCCCACCTAAACCCAGGCCTGGCGGGCAGGTGGGCACACTGGGAAGGCTCAGAGAGGTGAAGCCTCCCATTGCTCCTCATTCCCGGTGAGGCCAGGATGAGAAAAAGGGCAGATTGAGAGGGTGTGATGCTGAGCGCTAGGAAGAGACAACAGACTGAGGGCCAGCCTCTCCATGTGTCTTCCCAAACACCCGCCCTCCCCCGTATTCGCCACAGGAACGCCCGGTGGAGTGCGCCGAGTCTGCAGCCAGACAGGGGTACGTCTATTCCAGTGTTCTCCACACCCTACATCTCACCAGGTTACCCTGATGTGCCTGTCCTGCATCATCATCCCCAGATTTAGTTTTGCTGCCACTCTGGCCGAGGCCCAATCACCTATGGCCTATATTCCTGGAGTTTCTGCCCCTCAGGGACATCTTGTGTAAGCCAGGGAAATCTTTCTCAACGTGCATGTCACTGATTCTCTCAAGGAGCATGTGGGGTCAGTGAGACCAGGCTGGCTTGCTCTGTCTCTGTCTAGTCACTCCGCGGGACCACTGGCAAATGGAGGGGCACTG